TTGATGTAAACTTTGTTCAAATGTGATTGCATTTAACGATATACGCATTACCTAAAGGTATATGGACTCGACTAAATACGTATTTTAATAGTTGTTGGGAAAAATATTAAGTATAGACTTTGCCTGTGATCACAGTCAAAAATCTAACTACGTAGTAATAAATGGAACAAGCTCACCGGATTCTCCAGTCTTCCATTGACTCTTTTCACACACTTAATCGATAGTGATACACTAAGATCTTAAACCCCTTCATAGATCCAGTCACTCCTAGCTCTATATCCCAGTTATCTTTTTTATTTTATTGCGCAGTTCCTAAAACACGACTCCCGCGCCATTTTTTTTTTTCTTTTTTTTTTTTTTTTTTTTTTTTTTGGTATTTTATATTAAATTGATTATCGAATTTATAAAACTTTAAAGACTCTCATAAACCTTATTAAACTGTGTTGTATATATCTTTTTTACACCTGATGATAAAAAGGTAAACTATAATTTGGTTATATATAAAATATAATATATTTTTGTTTAATTTATTTAATTTTCTTGTGACATCCACTACACTTTGGAAACACATCAAAGGAGTTTCCCTTCTGTGTCAATATTTCATATATGGTAACGTCTTCTCTGTACGCTATTGTGAACCTTGACTTTAAAGTTTGTTTATATTAAATAGCTCAACTTTCGCAGCGGTCACCCATAGGAACCCCTGTTTCTTTTCTATGTACTTATATGGTATTAAACCTATTGTACTATAGGCGAACCGTCACATCCGGCCCCCTAATTATCAAGGAGTTTATCGGATTGATAATTACAAATATTCTGTTGTGCTCCCCCTCCCTTTTTGACATTACCATATTAAATCTATTTCCCTATATGCGAACCGTCACAACCTGCTTTTATCGTCACATATCATTCCTCACTGGTGCCCCGCCAGCGTATACCGATAGCGCAGGTGAAGTTACCATTTCATTAACACCCATTAAAAAAATATCATAGTGATTGGTTAAGCCGTTAAGATGCCATAAAGTAACAAACAAACTCACTTTTACATTTATAATATAAGTAAGAATTATAATACTTTTACTGCTACCTTTCCTTTATGGTTGCGTATACCAAGCGTGGCCATTAGGTACTGGCAAAATCTCAGGAGGAGGCCTATGTTTAACAGTGGACAGTTAACGGCTGATCTGATGATGATGATGATGATGATGATGATGCTGTTATTATATTGCGTTGGTATTGCTACTAATTCTACTACTAGTAGGTACCTATAAACGTAAAAGTTTTTTTTTAAAGGGCAGAAATGAAATGGTAACCCGGCTATTGGTGTACAATGGCGGGGCACCAGTGATTACAGACAGAGATTACTAACAATCCTTTTCCCCCCCAACGTAAAAGTTTGTGAGGTTGTATAGGTGCATGTCTATTACACGATTAATACTAGCTGTTGCCAGCGACTTCGTCCGCGTTTCCGTCGTTTTTCGTAAAATAAGTAGCCTATGTCCTTCCTCACGGTTCAGTGGTTTTGATGTAACAGACACATTTCCCTTCACTGCTCTGTTCCTATTGATCGTGATGAAAAGTGATGAAAAGTATACTATAACCTATCCAGGAGTATGAGAATAATTGTACCAAGTTTCGTTAAAATCCGTCGAGTAATTTTTGTTTCTATAACGAACATACAGACAAAAATTTTACTGATTGCATTTTTGGCATCAGTATCGATCACTAATCAACCCCTGATAGTTATTTTGGAAATATATTTCACGTACAGAATTGACCTCACTACAGATTTATTATAAGTATAGATACAAGTCGATCACCCTCAGGTCTTATCAGCGTCAATATGATATCACAATATTATCATTGCTTTAACAATTCACATTTTATTTTTCTATGCAACTTGACACGACCAGTCATCCGGCAGATCTGAAGCCGGCACAAAGCACTGCAATTGTGTCACGCACGTGCCTGCATGCGCCGTCCATTTCCGTGATATGTTCGCGTGACGAATTAAACCTATATTGTTGCCATATACGCTCGACAAAGTATTCTTTTAATTACACCTATAAGTCGGGATTATTTGCAAGGTTTCGCTTATAAATTGTTTGAGGAGAAAGTTTCCTTTTCATCTTTTAGGCGTTAAGGAAAATAATTTCATTATTAAAAATTATTGTTAATTTTTATTAATATAAATAAATAATAATTATTAACAGTTATTAAAAAAATGTGTAACAGTGCAACCTTATATTTGTTAATAATGGTTTATATTATTATTGTAAAAAAAAAGAAAAATTGTTTAACTGGAGTTAAAAGTAGCTTATATCCTATTTTAAAACATAATGAAAGGCTAATGAAGAAATCATTCCAAAAATACTCTATAAATGAAATTAGTAACAAACCAAAATATTTCATTTATTAATTGATTGTTAACCCTTCTTTGCATGATTTTTTTATTGGTGAAATAAATCAAGGTGATATAATTCATGTTCAAAATTAAAGGAAAAATAGTTAAAAAGATAAATTTGACAGCTATGTTTTTTTTCTGCAATGGACATTAATAAGGTATAGACACAATCAACTTTAAGTGAACTTGGTTTTTAAATAATTTTTGGGCATTCAATGTTATGATGGAAATTTTCATCATTAAAAGGGTTAATTTCTACTGCTACTGGACATCAGCAGACTGTCTAATGGCTGGGTTAATTATTAATTTGTATACAGTTTACTGACGTATATAAATATCTTTTACACACTCGTATACCATCTCAAATGTTGCATGTAGGTACCTGTATTAAATCTCACGACGACGACTGTTAAAATTATACAATCACTAAGTGCGAATAATAAACAAACAAACGCATTGTTTAAATATATGTCTAAATAGGTAATATTAATATAGATTATAGTAAAAATAACGTAGCAATTACCTCATAACATGTCATGTTGTTAAAGCTTTACAACCCTTCATCATTAGATTCTAATTACTGGACTAGTAGTCTCAAAGGAATCGAGAACATTCGCTATAACATCAGTGATAATGGTTATACAAACGAATCGGGGGATAAAAGTAGGCACGGAGGTAATATTGGTTATAGTTCATCATCCCATAATACCCGGATTAACGCGTTACAACCCTTTGTGGGCGGATTTAAAAACTTCACCAAAACATTTACATGCGTTGATTTTTATTTGGCTTGAATAACATTAAATATTTGTGCAGCGAGCTTTATTGTGTAATGTAATATTAAATTTATTAATAATAATAATGTTTTCTGAATATTTTTTCCTAAATGACATAGAATTATCAATTTCGTGTCTCATTTCCTTTAATCAAACACCTTTTATTTTATGAAACCCCAAATCAAATGATTATAAATAAAAAACACTGCAATTTAAATAAAAACAAAAGCTTTTATTAGAAATATTTTAAAAGAATAACATTTTATTTTTAATGTGAAGAATGAAATTGTTTCACTGTATAAATAATTTCGCGGAACGCTGATGGCTTTTTTACGGAACTCCTAGGTTCCGCGGAACCCACTTTAGGAATCGCTGGATTAGACACCAGTTCAATTCGTATCTAATATTTTTTTTTATCTCTACAGATATCCCGAATTATATTGAAAAAAAAAAATACATTTCTCGTAGTTTATAGCTATAAAGACCTAATGTTGCGTACAAACGAACATTTACAATAACTGTCATACACATTAGTGGATTTCTTTGATGCAAAATGTTTCTTAACAACCCTTCACGTCAGTTTATCGCAACAGGAAGCCAGGGAATAAATATTCACCTCACATATTTTGCCAACCCTCCGCTTTGTCCTAACAACCACTTTCGTTCGATTCTGTCAATTTATATTTGCCTGCAATCATTAATGCAACCGTCGACGCCTACCTACAGTTACTATCAAAAATCAATGACCAGAATGTAACAATACCAATTTTAGTGTAATAAAAGATGTATAGGTACATGTATGTATGTAGATATATACATTAAATTAGGACTAGTAACTACTTTATAAACAGTTCCCGTTGGAAAGCTTCGTAGTAAATTCTTGTTGAATTCGTCAAGATGGGTCGATTGATTTATTATCTGTCACTGATAATACGTGTAATAATTTTTGTAATAGTAGGTCATTATATTCATTATATGAGCCGTTACCTGTCCACCGTTGAACATAGGCCTTCCCCATTATGGGGATTTGCCAGTAGTTGCTACGCTAGACAACCATAATTAGACTTTGTTGATGTTTTAAGAGAAATGATACTGCCCATGTCTCGTTCATTAATTTCCCTTAATCACCTCTTATAATACTCACGGGAAAAGAAGGTAGGTACAGTATAACAAAATTACTCTTTTATTCCTAAATCCACTTTTTTAGATGCGCTTTGAATGAGATTGGATTAGGTATTATTGTTGTCATAATAATAATAAATATGAAACTTTTATTCCACTTTCTAACAGTCGTGACTAAATTCAGTTAAAAAATTAATATTTTTAATGGATGTACTTTATAATTAAAGTTTCTATTGAAATTCTTGATACGAGTCCTATTTAAATAGGTAGATTTTTTTACACATTGCATTTCATTAACTTTAGTTGACTGTACCTGCCGTTTTGCATTGCGAGCACTATAATCTACAAAGAAACACCCTGCCTCCCCCCGCAGTCAAACAGAATGGTGACGGAGGGGGTAACTCCAGGAAGGCTCCTAGCTTTAATTGAGGCGGTTTCGAGCAAACTAGCCGACTGAATAGGTGTCAAGAGCAATGCGTCAAAACGGCCCGTTGGGGGCGCAGACGTGCCCCGTAACCGGAGCCACTCGCCTTATAATGCTACATAATTCAATTGATTCCCCGACACTACCCGCACGCTTCCTTCTAACTTCGTTTAGAGCGTTTTGATATCGGATACGTCGTTTTGACGCCTCCTCGTGCAATTCTTTCCACACTGACTTAGGGGAAAAATAAAAGCAAAATAGAATTCACTATTCCTTTGTTTTATTTGGTTTAGATACTTTATAAATAGTATATAAATAACTTATATTGCTAGCTTAGTGTTGATAGGTGACGACGGGTGATGAGTAGGAGACTTGGCCGAGGTTCGTGCTGTACGCCAGTTTGGCGACGGGAGCAGCAGCGTATGCAACTGGCGCTGGAGCGTATGCAACGGGAGCAGCATACGCGACCTTAGCAACTGGTGCAGCGTATGCGACCTTGGCAACAGGGGCAGCATAGGCGACCGGGGCGGCGGCGTAGGCAATCTTAGCTGGCGCAGAGGCTGCCTGTCCCTCGTAACGTACGATGGCATTGAATCCGTTCACTTTATCGGCTGTGTACTCGACGATACGCTGGACGCCGTCGGGTTGAATGAGGGAGTAGGATCCATGGACAGCGTCGCCGGCGCGACCCTCCTTCTGCTGCTTGACGTCCCCGCTGTGCTGGTCCTGCACTGAATATTCGAACTCGTAGTTGGCGGGAGCCTCCGGCTCTACATACGCAACTTTGGCCACTGGCACCGCGGGGATGGCGATTGCCGCAGCCGCGGCTACGAAGCAGAAGAAGGATATTACCTAAAAATATGTAAACATTTATTATGTTATTATTTTTGTAAACTAGATGAATATAGTAATTAATTCTTATAAATAAATACATTAAAATATAAAATAAATATTTTATTTTATAAACAAAAAATGCATAGGTTAATCTAGTAGGTCCAGTTAAAAGCATAAAATATTTTATACCGAACTTCCTTATATTACAATGGCCATAAGTACTAAGACTCCTAAAATAATCACTAAGATTTCCTAAAAATCCCATGGCAAAAGTAATTTAAAAAAATAAAATGAAATGCTGTCCCTTGGTGAATGAATCACTTGAGAAAGGTTGGACTAATTTATTTATTTTTTTAAATATTAATAATTTTATTTTTATTCAGCTAACTGAATGGAAATAAAATTAAAATGTATCTGATACATAGTGATAAAAAAATGTATTGACTTATTTTCAATTCAATTATAATAATAATATATTTATTTATGTCTCTTCACAAACAACATAAATTTTATTATTTTCAATTCAATTGTAATTCTATTATAAGTTCATCGGAATCGTTTTGTAGTATTGATAGGTGATTAATTAATTCCATATATACGATCTTATATGTAAAATTCTCTATTAGTGTAATTCGAAAACTCTTCCAAATTAAATATCTCTGACCACGATCGTTAATGACACAATTATCATTTACAAATAGTTTTTTTTTTATTTCTATTATTATCACGTTTCCAATATCCTTTGGCAACTTCACAAAACAAACACAAACAAGTTTTTTTTTTTAAACTGATCAACGTCTCTCTGGTTAATTAATTTCAATATAAAATTATATTTTGATCATTACTGTCACTCAGCTACTTACTTGGGCGTTCATGTTGTATGGTAGAAGTGTTATCAGATAATGTACTCCTAGGTCGGTAACCGGAGCTTTTATACCAGTCATGCACGTTTGATCTGACGGTCATATTTTGCGACTACTTTGAGAATGATGCAATATGCACTCCATTACACTTCTTATTATATTGCTTATACTGTACCTTTTCTATGCATTTTTTGATGTAAATTGAGTTGTATTAAAAAAATTACTAGATGGAGACTTTGTACAAAAGTCGTTTGCTTGGGTACCTCTGTCCCATTCCTGTTCCAACCGTAAAGCAGTTGTGTTTGCGTGGCTGTGTTTCGGTTTGAAGGATGGGATATGGCGTGAATTTACTGGGTACAGAGGAATAACACCTGAGTTCTCAAGAATGGCAACGTATGGGGGGGGGGGTATCATGGGCGAAACAGTATACTTTGTTATAACCATGGTACGGCTCATGTCTATAGGCGACGGTTACCACTTTCCATCAGGTGGGCCGTCAGCTTGTTTGCCATTCTAAGTTGTATAAAAAAAAAAGTTTCAAAAGAACAAGAACTAACTTTTTTTTTAATTCTCATCTCATTTAAAATACTGGACAGATAAGGCGAACATAAAGCGAAATATTATCTGCGGATAAAATGTACCTACCTACTTTGTTTCCGCTGGATATTAGAATAACAAGTTGGTTGACGTTTCACTTAATGTAAAATAGTAAGACATAAATAATACCATTAATGTCACACCATCACGAACACCCACGATATTTCTTATGAGCTACAATTTTTTATTTAATGGATGATATGGAAATGGTAACCTCGCCTGCACGAACGCTGTATACGCTGTATACGCTGTACATGGTATACGCTGACGGGGCACCAGTGAGGGATGATAAATGAGAATAAAAAGGAAGGTCAGTTAGCTCATCGTGACGATCGTTAGATCGTGAATATACCTGAAATTCAACGTGATGGTTTCCACGTGGAGGTCGACCAGACAGGGAATATTGTTAGCAATGGAACTGGATCCACAATATTAACAATCCCTTGATCTGTAATGGATGATAATGGAAAGGTAACCTCGCCTTCGCTATATACACCGGCGCAGCGAGGCACCAGTGAGGGATGGTAAGTGAAAATGAAAGAGCAGGTCAGTTAGCCCATCGTGATAAATACACTTGGAATTCAACACGATGGTTTCCAGGGTGGACCACATGGAGGTCTACCTGAAGAGGTATATTGCCAGCAATGGGACTGGTTGTTCGCATTACTAATTAATTAGAATACACGTCTCTGTATCGAAGTCTAATAAAACATATCCCTAGCTTACGACCGAGCATTATTTTAATTTTACGATAAAAAGAAATCTCAGGCATGAGTTATACTGAGTTTCTAATCTGGAACATTTTTTTTTATTATTACCTAAAGTTTGAAACTTCATAAGATATTTTCCACAAAAAAAATCGACTTCAATTACGACAAAATTAATTAATTTGATTTAAAAACTACTGTGCTAATTTTGATAAATTTTCTGTGGGACCAATTTGTAAGTATTTACTTTTAGATAAAAAAGAATGTTCCAAATTGATTTACACCTGACAATATTATTAGATAACATACATAAAGGTTGTCTGTAAGAGATTGCCCTAGCGATAAGACCGCCTTTTGTACCTTTATGTGTATATTTCAAACTGTATTTATGTTACTGTATTTCACTTGAATTATTCACTTGTAATTGTATATTTTTATTTATGGTGCAATAAAGAGTTAAATAAATAAATAAAAAAACAACATCACGCGTATAGTTTTCTGTACATAGGAAGCATAGGAATTTTACTAAGTATGTGGGATGATCGGTTCAGAATATGAAAACAAATTTCACAGAATCCTTTTTTTTTTAATTTTTTGACACAACACGACTGAGTGCATTGCTTGTTAAATAACTGCCTTCTTAACACTAGTCCGTTCGTCATTTAGTCATTCGTCCCATTTGTTCCGTTTCATTCCATCATAGTTCAGAAATCCTACTTATATCTTAGGATAGATTTGGATACCCATCAGAGATAGTCGATATTAGTTGAGTTCCGATATGTATTTCGTTGTTACGTGCAGTTCTTAATATTTTTTTTTATAAAAACAAGTAAAGTTCCACTGTACACATATGACTGTATACATATTATTGTATCCGTAATAACAAATAGTAGGACAGTCTAGTTTGGACTTACGAGTATAATGACATGTTATGTTTTTAAAATAAAATATTATTTTTAAAAAGATTTTTGATAATGTCTTATTTATACCTATCTACCTATAAAAGTTAATAAGTAATAAAACAATCATATTAGTGAATTTTTATATTTTTTTATTAATAAATAAATAACTATTAACTAAATATTTAATGTTGATAGGAGACAACGGGAGATGAGTAAGAAACCTGGCCGAGGTTTGTACTGTACGCCAGTTTGGCAACGGGAGCAGCGGCATATGTGACTGGTGCTGGGGCGTATGCAACGGGAGCAGCATACGCGACCTTATCAACTGGTGCAGCGTATGCGACCTTGGCAACAGGAGCGGCGTAAGCGACCGGGGCGGCAGCGTAGGCAATCTTAGCTGGCACCGGGGCTGGCTGTCCCTCGTAACGTACGATGGCGTTGAATCCGTTCACTTTATCGGCTGTGTACTCGACGATACGCTGGACGCCGTCGGGTTGAATGAGGGAGTAGGATCCGTGGACAGCGTCGCCGGCGCGGCCCTCCTTCTGCTGCTTTACGTCCCCGCTGTGCTGGTCCTGCACTGAATACTCGAATTCGTAGTTGGCGGGAATCTCCGGTTCTACGTACGCCACCTTGGCCACTGGCACCGCGGGGATAGCAATCGCCGCTGCCGCGGCTACGAAGCAGAAGAAGGCTACTACCTGAAATTGAAGTAAAGATTTATAAAAATTTAGAACATTTTTTATTAACACTGACAGATTGATAGATAATGCACAGAAGGACAGATAGATACATGAAGTTTCTTATATTCACGGGTAAAAGCGAGATCGGGACATGTTTACTGATATGGGATAGCAAGTAACCCTAAAAAAACACTAAATTCAATTTCATTGTGATTTGTTAAGAGGTAACAAACAAACTCATGTTCACATTTACGAGTATAATAATGGTAAAGAAACATAAGTAATTAATACTACTTGCTGTGCCCAATAAGGTCCAACCATATTGTAGAATGCAATAAGTAATAAATAAATAATAAAAAGTATTTCTAGATACTATCATAAGCACAAGCAAAAAACGGCTTCTTATCCAGGCTATCAAGTTTGAAAATTAAATTATATTTCGATTATTACTGTCACTCAGCTACTCACTTGGGCGTTCATGTTACACATTGGATATATTATCAGATAATGTACTCCTAGGTCGGTAACCGGAGCTTTTATATCAATGTTGCATGTTTGATTTGACGGTCATATTTTGCGAATGATGCAATATCCAATCCGTTCAAGTTCATGATACATTGTTAATATTGTTTTGTCTCGAGCAAGTTTTTTTTTTAGTAAACATTTGTTTTAGAATTTATGAACTTAAATAATAATTCTGAATTTACTTTTTACTGAATATCACTCACATGTATGTAAATAATTCCGATGATATAACCATTTCTGATATAATTTCAAATGTTTCAATTTACTCTTAATTCAATGTTATAGTTACAACATTTGTTATTAATAATTTATTTATATTATGATTAAAATTTTGTGGTACAGGTAATATATTAATTGCCGTTTCAACTATTTCTAGGAAATTAATTTATTTTCGGAAATAGATACTATAAAATGGAAAAAAAATTATATATAATAAGAATTTTTTAGGAAAAATAGAAACCTGTAAAGAATAGGCTGTGTAAAGAAAGCAATGTATTTGTATAAGATAGTGAAGTTATTTAAACTAATATTAAGTATAAAAAATAGATATTAAATTTTTTGTTTATAAAGGATAAACATAAAAACGTTTAAAAAAATAATCTATAGAAAGTTGTATTATCAGCGAGTAGCACGGGTTATATTTTAGTTTAAAAAAATGTATTTAATATTCTACCCTATTCTATCTACCCATCTGAAGATAGAGTCGGTCACTATTATACTGAATATAGAAATATGTAGTTATTGATTATATAGATTATATACTAACTATATGCGTCAAATTGAAACCGGTGTATTTAGTTCCAAGATTTGGATTATTGAGAAAAAAAAATACATCTAATTAATAATTGTAAAAATAATTACCTTACGAAAGTGATGAATCTACTGATAATATTAATCTGCAATTATAATTCTTAATGTATTATTATTACCACTTTCTTTTATCGTGATTTGCCTCTCTAACTTCATCCACGTTCTATATATATATATATCTCTTCACACAGCCTTGTCGGTATCGAGTACTCTAAATTTAGTCTTTCATTAAAACGCGTCTTCAACTAAACAAAGATTTTTTAATGCGAATCGTTCACTGATTATTTTTAGTACTTTAGTATTTTTAGTAATTCATTTAAATACTAATTTTCATTTCATCATCGTTATCACTTGTCTGTTTTTTATATATCTATTATTATAGTTTTAACAGAAGTAGTTATGATATTTGAATTTACATATAAAATTATATATGTCTTACTAGCTGTATCCCGCGGCTCCGCCCGCGTTAATCATAATATAAAATATTCTATATGCTAAGTTAGGATATAACTCTCCCGTGTATCAAACTTCATTCAAATTCGTTCAGTAGTTTTTGCGTGAAATAGTAACAAACACCCATTCAGTATCCATCATTATAAACTCGCATTTATTATGTTAATAGGCTTAGACAATCATTATTATCATACATGTAGGTTACTTAACTTTGAATAACAAATAAGCAATAGTTTATCTAATGGAAAGCAGTAACTATCGCCTGCATACGTGAACCATAGCATAAATATCACAAAGTGCACTGTATGTGAAGAATTATTATTATAATATTCAAAGAAATCTCTGTAAATTAAGAAGTACGAATAACCTGCCAGAAAAATTAACTATTTTCAAAATGACTATAGCCAATGTAATAGCCAATAAAAATATACATCCAAACTAAAAAATAAAAAGTGTCACATACATGGACCCTGAAAACACAATTTTATACGACTGCTTTTTAAGTGGTCGTATAAAAGTGATATTTTAATAACTAAATAAGCAAAGAGAGCTGTGTGCAATTGCAATTTCAATGCTAACTTAGCAGGCACTAAGTTGAGGCACTAATGATATGAAAATACCTCATTACGTGCATATATTTGCATTGATAAATTTTGCATATTGCATATTCTTTTATAAAAATTTTTCATTCATTCATATTTGCATTGATAATATATTGTTCTTTAAAGGGAACAAAAAATTTTTTCATTCATTCATTCATTTTGTTAATGTTCAATTACATATTACAAAAAAATTTAACAATAAATATAGGTACTTTTGCGGAAAGTGCGTTTAAATGATGTCTGAAAGCGTAGAATTGAATAAATACTCGCTAGCTTTTTCCCTACTTTTTACAGTATATGTATGTCATAATAAGATTACTGTCATTATATTAAGTACATATAGATGCATTAAATTTAAAATAGATAATAAATGTGAATGATACATGAGAGATGTCTAAATATATATATATATATATATATATATATATATATATATATATATATATATATATATATATATATATATATTGTAATCGACTTCAAACAAAGGAGGAAATTCTCAATTCGATTTTATTTACATCTGTTATCTTAGAACTAAGTCAATTAGTTACTGATTTGAAAAATTATTTTCGTTTTTATCTGGAAGGATACCCTTTCATTATTATCATTCATCATGTCCCATAGAAATTCCATTAAAATCGGGTCAATAGTTTGGTTTTTTAATCAAAATATCTGGTTTTGCCACGATTGGAATAGATTTTTTGTTTGTGGAACAAAATCTACTTATTTAACTTCTACAACTCAGACGTGGTATGTTAATACAGTATTATAATATTATTATTGTACGATCAAATTGTAAATCTCTATAATTTGCAAATAAAGACAACTAATTGATTAAACTATACTAGCGTCTGAGTAATAATTAATAATATTATTTTTGCAATTGATTAGGTTTATAAATTTCCGTGTTAGTCCCATATATCGGGATAGGATTTGGTGTCCTACTCATATTATAAATTCAAATATTTTCAACCTTATTAAATGTAGTCATTACTTATCAGTGACTTTAATATGTCGATGCCTTTTATTATTATTGAAATGGCTGCTTTTAGAATTGAATACAGCTGATCGATTTTTCAATTATATTCAACTTGAAGTTAAAAAATGTAATAGTTTTGCATGATTATTCCATAATGTGATAGTGTATGAAATCGGATTTTTGTTAATTATTCTATTTTATTTATACCTATTTATTTGGATAAAAATAAGATAAACATATTATAATTAATTAGTCATTATAATTTAATCAATAAATAATAATAAATGCATATATTTAATGTTGGTAAGAAATGACTGGAGATGAATAAGAAACCTGACCGAGGTTTGTACTGTACGCCAGTTTGGCAACGGGAGCAGCGGCGTATGTGAGTGGTACCGTAGCGAATCCAACGGGAGCAGCATACGCGACCTTAGCAACTGGTGCAGCGTATGCGGCCTTGGCAACAGGAGCGGCGTAAGCGACCGGGGCGGCGGCGTAGGCAATCTTAGCTGGCGCCGGGGCTGCCTGTCCCTCGTAACGTACAATGGCGTTGAATCCGTTCACTTTATCGGCTGTGTACTCGACGATACGCTGGACACCGTCAGGCTGGATGAGGGAGTAGGATCCATGGACAGCGTCACCGGCGCGGCCCTCCTTCTGCTGCTTGACGTCCCCGCTGTGCTGGTCCTGTACTGAATACTCGAACTCGTAGTTGGCAGGAGCCTCCGGTTCTACGTACGCCACTTTGGCCACCGGCACAGTGGGAATAGTGACCGCCACTGCCGCGGCTACGAAGCAGAAGAAGGATACTACCTGTACAGAAATAAAACGGTATGACATCAAAAACATTTTTAAACACAAAAAAAAATATCTACATTAAATGGCAATTTTAACTGACTTCAAACGAGTCGAATGAATTGTTAGTAATGCTACTAGATCAGACACTATCAGGTCGACCTCCGTGTGGTCTCCCCTGGAAATAATCGTGCTGAATTTCAGGTGTATTTATTACGATGGGCTAACATGCTTTTTCATTCTCACTTCTCATCCCTCAGTTGTGCCCCGCTAGCGTCTAAAGTTACTGCAAATGGAGTTACAATTCCATTAATATCCATTAAAAAACCGAATTCAAGAAGGATCTCAATTAGGTTTTTTTTAATGACGTCAGTTTTTCGTATAACAAAATGAAATTATATTTTGATTAATTGTTTTGGGCACGTACTTTAGCAACCATGTTGTTTGTTTTCTTTACAGTGCAATTATGTGTTGCTTCAATTGTCAGTCCGCAGTTTTATACCTGTTCCTCTATTTCACTCACACATGTTGGTATCTACTGTGTATAATAACGCTAATAAATGTGCGCAGGCGGCGTAATACTAGGTCATACGGAATTTGGTATTGACTTGGTTTATTTTTAAATCAACGTTTTAGTATATTACGGTTCTTGTGAGTGATAGTATTTACATATATGTAAATTCTACTATCTCTGTCTCAAGGGTGCCGGGGTTGCAGTTGGAACCAGCAGCCTAATTATAAATCATTAAAAATTGTTCTACTAATTTTTGTTAAGTTTTTAGAGATCTCACCTCAACAGTCGCTCCGCGATTGGTCGTCACAAGACTCATATCCTATGCATTGAAGTAATTTTACTCACCTATATAGATACTAACGTAATGTATTGACGTAAGACATATAACTCTTATGATCCAACGATGGAAACTAGTTCAGTTCTAATACACATCTTCATACTTTTTTACACTTTCACACGATTTACAGAATCTATTTCATTCGTTTCATCAATCGACATGTATTAATTCCCAATTTATATAGTTAAGAATGAATACAGTTATGTTATTTAAAAATAATTTCAAAATTGGCAAGAAGTCATCTGTATATAGCATATGCTATATGTGAAGTGGGTAAACAGATTTCAATTAAATTTTATTATTAAATAGATAATAATAATTAGTATACCTTTCATGAGATCGGTAGAGCGAAAATGAGATGTAACTTAACCCTTTTATTTTATGTAAAATGTAAAGATTTCGCATAACTGGATGTTAAAACTGACTGATTGATCAACACACTGTCAAAACAACAAGATCTAGAAACACGATGTTTTGACACAGGAGTCCTTTATAATAAACAGTACAAAATAATTTTCTAAAAAAAAATAAACAAAAAAATGGAAACTATTTGAATTAATAACAGAATGAATATTATTCACTTATAACAAATTTCACCATAGGTTTGTTATCTACTTATTTCTAAATGAGAACGAGTATCGACAGTCCATCAATCTAAGCGAAACTTGTACAGTGAGTGTTGTATACAAAATACTTCTAGCAAATGCATAAACTTTAAGTTGTGAATTTTACAAAATTTACTATTTCGATTATTAACTAAATCTCAATAGTGCACTTAAGAATATTTGATAATATAAATAACACGTTCAATGAGTGATTTATATTCACGAAACCCGTCTCTAAACTAAATAGAATAACATTTCGACTATTATTTTTGAAACGATTTATGTCTACCTTAAAATCGAAGAGACCTATAAATAGAAAGATTATTGGAATTCCCACAGAACCGAAACCGAAATTCCAATTTGCTCAACTATGGAGAGGGTTACGCGCCGGAATTTCGGTGTAAGATAGAATTTGCAATGAGATAATTATGCAGAAAAAGTGAAGAAAATAATTTTGAGAACCAATGTTCTTGTATATACGATCCCGTATAGCAAACGCAGTGTGTAAGAATGCGACAATCTTAAATATGGTATAAAAATTACTTAAATTATGATAATGAAGTAACAATATATATTTATATATACAGTGTGGCATGAAGTCAATATAAAATCTGAGTTACGTTAACGAGTTTCAAACACTGAAGTCTATAAGAGTGAAAATACAGATGAGACACGGGCGGTGCAAATATAGGACACAGCAATGACCCGCCGAGTCGTACCATCTGTACCATACATTTCTCGAAGCGACTCACGACTCGTTTGACATACTGTAATTTCATTCAAGTTTTAGTGATCAAGAGGACATATTTTAACTGGCTATGTTGCCAATATATCTAATACTTCTATCTTATAGTATACGAATTACCGCTTGTCAAAGTCCTTCAATTTTGTCAATGACATGCACAGCGAGCATCAAAATTCTAAGATACTTCTAGCAAATGCATAAACTTTATGTTGTGAATTGTACAAAATTTACTATTTCGATTATTAACTAAAACTCAATAGTGCATTTAAGAATATTTTATAAGTAGAATATGTTGACATGGAATGCCAAATCATTATTATAATTATAAAAATAAAGTTGTCTAATATTGATACGATCATTATAAATTTAGATAGGTAATTATTTAGATAACAATTTATAATAGAGTTATTGAATAAATTCTAATTTAAACCACCTTTATTCAAATAGACTTGTTTACAAACACTTTTAAACCCTTTTAATTTTTTTGCAGGGTTCAGAAAGTTATTATCTGTTGAGTCTAAAATTACATGGTCGTTAAAAGCCCGTGCATGATCGTCTAACATCATGCACATTTGTCATTCAAATAATCGTTTAGACTTTGTTCAATAAGTGTTTTTTTAATAACAGTTTTAAACTTATAAAAAGGTAGATCCTAAATATATATATCCCATATGTATATCCTTTGGTATTTTTTATTACATTTAATGCCCATTCCCATAAAAGACCTATTAACTTTTTCTAAACGATAGTTTGGAACAGCAAGTCTAGCTACAAAAGCTGTTAAGATTATTGAGATCGCTGTTTTTAAGAAACAGTCGAAGATTCCTGCAACACACAAAATGTTTGCGTATATGTATTTTGAAGCTACGGTATAGGTGTTTCCAGAGATACTAACTTAAATAACTGATATGGTTTTACATGAGATCTTACAGCTTTTTATAGTGGAAGAACAACGTTGCGAGACTAGGTATTTTTTTACATTTTTTCTTTTTAATGGGATGTTCTTATTCTGTAATGTTTGCATCTACACTTTCCATCAATTTATAATTTGCTAATAAACTAAATAATTGAATACGCTCACAGTAGGATGTTGTTTTTCTCCAAGAAGCCCTGTTTCAGTAATGGTCTATTTAACAAAATGTAAAATTGAAAGAATAACTCAATTTTCTTTTGTCTTATTATTATAACAGGTATTTTAATTTTGTATTCTACGCTGTCTTATGTTTTAGAATGAAGTATAAAACGTTATTATTGATTTAACAACTCGATTTATTTATCATATAAATAAATAACTTTAAACTCAACTATGGCACTTAATACTAAATACTTCTAATGTTGGTAAGAAACGGCGGGGGAGGAATAAGAGACGTGACCGATATTTGAGGCGTAGGCTCCATTGGCAACGGGAGCGGGTGCATAGGCTACATTGGCAACTGGAGCAGAGGCGTAAGTTACGGGGCCTTGGGCGGCATATGTGACTGCGGCTGGTGCAGCATAGCTGACAGGAGCTGGAGCGGCGTATTTGACGTGAGCAACGTTAGCAACTGGAGCCGGCGCGGCGTAGCTGACAGGAACAGAATTAGCAACTGGAGCTGGCGCAGCATATCTGACGTGAGCTACATTAGCAACTGGAGCCGGCGCAGCGTAGCTGACAGGAACAGAGTTGCCAACTGGAGCCGACGCGGCATATCTGACGTGAGCAACGTTAGCAACTGGAGCCGGTGCGATATATCTGACATGAGCAACGTTAGCAACTGGAGCCGGTGCGGCATAAGTGACAGGTACAGCGTTAGCAACTGGAGCCGGCGCGGCATATCTGACGTGTGCAACGTTAGCAACTGAAGCCGGCGCGGCATAGCTGACAGGAACAGCGTTGGCAACTGGAGTCGGTGCCGAATAAGTGACGGGAGCAGCGTTAGCGACTGGAGTCGATGCGGCGTAGTTGACGGGAGCGGGAGCAGCGTAACTAACGGGAGCCGGTGCGTAGGCCACTTTAGCTACGGGAGCAGCATAGGCAACCTTGGCAACAGGAGAAGTTGCATAGGCGACCTTGGCGACGGGGGCGGCTGCATAGGCAACATTAGCGTGCGCAGCAGTAGTTTGACCCTCGTAACGTACAACAGCGTTAAATCCATGTTCGTTATCAGCGGTGTATTCCACGATGCGTTGAGTGCCATCTGGTTGAACTAAAGAGTAGAATCCGTGGACAGCATCACCGGAGCGGCTTTCCTTTTGCTGTTTCACATCGCCGCTGTGTTGATCTTGTACTGAGTACTGGTATTCATAATTGGCCGGCTCATCAGGCTCTGCGTATACTACCTTGGCAGCAGGCGCCACTGGGACGGCCACTGCTGCTGCTGCAGCCACCAAGCAGAAGAAAGTTGTGATCTATAAAATAAATGTTAAATGTCAATCAAATTCTGTGTAATTCCACATTCTTAAGAGAACGATTATGATAGTAATCCCGGATGAAGAGGTTTTTTGTCCATTGTTCCGGATTGATCGTATCGATCCTACCAACATCCCTCGTATTCATTAGGTAGATTGAAGGAATTTACCATGAAAAATTTATATATTTAAAAATGATAAATCAATTTGCCGTTGTTCGATTTTGAATTTACAACCTTTATTTAATGAATCGGGGTTTACTTATAGTGTACGGTACTCTAAACTATTTTATGTTAATAAAAATTAAAAGTTGATTACTCACTCTAGCTACCATGTTGGTTAGTTTGGTTATTGTGAGTTAATGTGATGTTATGAACCAGCGAAGAGCTTTTATACTAGTACAAGATGTTGCGCAGACGTCTCTGCTGCGCTTACGCATATTAGTATCGACGAGTACTTATGGATGTAGTGGGCAGGCCCCGATGGACATAAATTAGATTAAAGGAAGTTATGTAACCCATTGAGACCCATAATAGATTAATACACGTCGCTAGTTTCATAAACTAATTATTTTTTGAGAAACATAGATTGTGTTTATCTATTAAATAGCATAATTAGGTTTGCTTCAAAATATTTTAATATAGTGATATTTAACAGTCTTATTGTTACCAATTTACTTTATTTCCTTGAAATCACTGTAGTTAATTCTTGAGGAACTCGTCACGATTGGCTAATTGGCCTGCTTTAATTCTCATCTATCATCTCTCCTCGTTAACGTATACCGATAGATTAGGCGGCGTTATCATTCCAATTTTCTTATAAAAAATTATAATTATAATAAAATATAACAAAATAAAATAATTTAAGCTCGTTCTTTGCAACGTTACATTCCTATCTAATCAACTTTTGACTATCCACTATAGTATGTCTATTAAAACTTTACTAGTCTCAATTTTTCTTTAAGCAAACCTTAAATGTTAATTTTAGAAAATAATATGTACTTACAAATTAGTAGGCATGGGTAATATAGATACCAGGGGGAAAGGGATTGTTAACAATAGAGTTTGACAGCCCCATTGCTAGTAATATGCCTTATTAGGTCGACCTCCACATGGTTCCCCCTGGAAATCATCGTAAACAATTCTTGTTGAATTCGTCACGATGGGTTGACTGACCTGATTCGTTTTCCCCTATCATCCTTCACTGGTACCCCGCCGATGTATACCGATAGCGCGGGTGGGGTTACCAATCCATTATTACCCACTAAAAAAAAAATATAGATACCAATTCGATATTTATATTTTGATTTCCTCTAGACATTGATAGTGGAAAAAACATATTTCAATATTGCTCATATTGGTTTCAAGTATCTATTTTCGTATATGTTAAAAGTCTGTTATCAAAAACATAATATTGAATAACAGATTTTTAACATATTCGTTATCGCACCAGTAAATATATATATATATTCTTTATTGCACAAAAACATACAGTAACAACAATAAGTTAATAACAATGTTAGCAAAGGCGAACTTATCTCTAAAAGAGATTTCTTCCAGTCAACCTATAGGAAGTAGTGATGGGCAGTAGTAGTGCAAGACAGAAATTTAAATAAATATTTACATAAATTATATATATATATATATATATATATATATATATATATATATATATATATATATATACACATACACATACATATACACACATACATACACACGTATGATGTATATATGTAGTACCTAAAATATATATTTATATTTATATATTTATTATTATTTTATTTATAATATATATTTACCAGAGGGAGACTTTGTACAAAAGTCGATTGCTTGGGTACCTCTGTCCCATTCGTGTTTCAACCGTGAAGCAGTTGTGTTTGCATGGCTGTGTTTCAGTTTGAAAATATGTAGATACTACACTACACTACTATGTAGTCTATAGGCGACGGTTACCACTATCTACATATATATATTTATTATTACATAACATATTCACTTCTACCGTTTAATGATTCAAAACTGTTTTTTTTTTTTACTTTAAATAGCCATGTTAGTTTAAAAAACAATCCTAAACTCAAGTGTAAACTAAATTGAGAAATATTATTATACTACAAGTATATTTTTACCATCAAAATTATTATTTATTATAACTTGTTTTAAATTGCAATCGTCAATAATGGTAACATGATCAATAAATACAATTTAGTGCAAATAATTTCGTAAGTCGAATCGACTTGTTTAGAACATGATACATTTAAAATACATTTTGATAATAATAGGCTTAGTATATACAAAAAATATGCCGTATAGCCCCGGCATAGAATGGGCCACCCTTTCTTTTTCCGTGGGTGTCATAAGAAGAGACTGAGGGAACTCGAAAACTAGTCATGGGGTGATCAGTGTGTCCCTCTTAAAATGTCACCAAAGCCGAACTATGGTTTTTTTTTTTATAGGTGATAATGAAATAGTAACCTCACCCGCGCTATCGTTATACACCGGCGGGGCACCAGTGAAGGACGATAGATGAGGATCAAACAGGTCAGTTAGCCCATCGTGACGAATTCAACGAAAATTGTTCACGATGGTTTCCAAGGGGAACCACGTGGAGGTTGACTTGATAGGGCATATTACTAGCAATGGGGCTGTCAAACTCCATTGCTAACAATCCGTTTCCCCCCGCCTAACTATGGTTACCATATGGTAGCCAAGCATGGCAACTACTGGCAAAACTTTTTAGTAGGAGGAGGCCTATGTTCAACAGTGGTCAGTTAACAAACTGACATGATGATGATGACACGTAATATTTGCGATGACCACCTATCCACTTCTATATGTTCTTTAACCAAAGGTTGTCTGAAAGAGATTGCCCTAGTTATAAAACCACCTTTTTTATCTTTATGTGTATATTTTAAACTGTACTTCATGCTACTGTATTTCACCTGAATTGTTTATATGTCATTGTTTATTTTTATGTTTTCGGTACAATAAAAAGTTAAATAAATAAATAAATGACGCAGAGCTGGCCTTTAATACTGATGTTGGTTACGTAAACGGATTCGCAGATAACAAATTATCTGGTTCTTTAATTAAGAACCTGTATCCGTATATCTCTGCATTACGAAAAATTGGACAACGAACATCGAAGGACACATCCTAGAACCCAAGCCTAAAACATCTAAATATGAAACAATTTAAAAAAGTTCCTTCCTAAATTTCGTTAACCAAGATCGAACCCTGGACCTCATTTACGAAAATAAACATCTGTAATGGTACTATAGTAATCGTATCTGAACCGTGAGAATATTTGATTATAAATTTATTAATTATTTTATTACAGTGTAAAGTTTACACTATAATAAAATAATTAAAAAATATGTTTACATTGTAAACAACCTCTTAAAATATTTTAATGAGCAGACAGACTGTTGATTTACTTTTATTGAGTGATCGTAAAACGATTATTCTAAATGAAGGATTATAAGTATCTGATTTTATCTGTGACATTTCCGTAGCTTAATTAAAAAGTAAGCTTTCAAGAAGGAATTTAATAAACTTACTATGTTTACCGTTTCCCACATTTGTTTAGACTTCATCCGGAAGTCTCCATCGAGGCGAGTACGTTGCTTATATTGTAGCGACTCGCTTCATTTTGTGACGTAATCACCGTATTTACTCTGTAGCCGTTGAATAATATAAATATAAAATTGACCTGTGTTCCCAATATAGAATAGGCCACCCCTTCCTTTCCCGTAGGTGTCGTAGGAGGCGACTAAAAGAGCCTAACTGCGGTTGCCAATCCGCCTGCTAAGCGTGGCAACTACTCGCTACTAAGGTTGAAAGGTGATATGATGATAATGATAAATATAAAAAGGAACATAATTTTTCAAATTTTTAAAATGTTTTATTTTGACCGTCGACAACTTTTGTTGATTTCATATATTGAGTACCTTTTTATTATTGATGATCATCGTTGACGAACTTACTTGCATCAAACTATTTAATTCTAACAAATAATACACATATTAATTAGTTTAAAATTATCGCTTGTCAACAGCCAATTCGAATTCTTGATAGCCTATGTATATGTATGTATATGATTTTTATAAGGCTTTTTAAACAAGTTTTATAAAATTAAACATTCGTAACAAAAGGCATTTTTATCAATAAAACTAATGATATAATACTGATAATGCTTTCACCGAATCGATCTTTACGTTAATACATTCAAGGTTACATTAAAGATGCAAAAACTATATTACAAATCGAATACACATTGCACCAGAATTGACTACTTTCCTTCGTTGTAAAGGTAATTGACACCGGTGACCTTCGATCGATTGGAAATTGGTCAGCGCATTGCTCACAAAGATTACCGCAAAATCTCACTGAGATTGCATCAGAATTCACTGCTTTCGTTCATCGATGAAACATGTAAATTTGCACTATTATCGTTATAAAATTCGTATAATTTAACCTGTTTTTTTACTTATAAACTCTGATTATTACAGCTCTCGTCTCGAGCCTCGTCCTCGTAATATTATAACAGCGCGGTATAAATATGAGAAATAAACAAATGTCATTTTTTTAATTACATAATTTGTGATTTTATGTGCTATGAAAAGTTAACAATGGTTGTTAATTCATAATGTTTCAATTCTATTCGATAATAATAAATGTAAACATACCCTAAACCCCTGAATATATACAAGTAGGGTTTTTCTAAGGAAGTAGGTAGGGTAAAAGCTGACGACCCGATGGAAAGTCGTAACTGTCGCTTTACAGTGTCTACCGTGGAGATTGAATACACTGTGACGTCCCTGATTTCCGTTATGCTTGTTGCCATTCCTGAGGATTATGATTATGTCTTCAAACCCTGTAACCCAATTTTGATTAATAACAACACGTACCTATACCCGAGTACGATGTACTTATCCCATTCGCGTTGTACGCTGGGCTCTCACACGCCTAGGGATAGGTACTGTTAGTCCTTAGATCCCAAAAAAAAACTCTGTAATCCTTCAAATCGAAACACAGTTATGTAGCTATAAGCCAATTGTTTCTACAGATTACTCAATGTATTTCACTACTATTACAATCAAAGTAAATCTATAAGATTTGTTAGTCTCAAGTACTTATAGTTTTACGAATGTATGATCCAATAAGAGGACGTTTCCTTTTCGTAACACACTGAGGTTTTCACATAAGGAAATATCGATAACTGATCCAATTAACTCGACAAAAACTGATATACTGGATTGCGTGTTGCTAACTTAGTTCCATAATACAATTTTGTGTAATCAAATTCTCATAATGAAGCGAGCTACAAAAAGAAGGTATTGTCAATTAGCAC